TTAATATTCAGATGTAGACAAATGCTGAAGGTGTTTGCACCTAACAGTATCTATGAAGTTCAGAAGAAAAGCAAAGTCTTTTGGGCGGTTAGCAAATGAGATTAAGTGCGACTTCAGTTTTGCCAGCCCAGCATGTTTTTACCATTAATACTTTTCAGGGGCGAAACAAATCTTATCCATAATAGGCTAGCAAAAAGGTGAAGTAGTCTAATGCTAAGTAGCCAGCCTTTTCATGCAGCATCAGAGCTGGGGATGCTGGAAGTTGAATTCCCTGTGGGCAAAGAGCAGGGGCCACTTTTGTGCTTTGCATCTTGGGGGTACAGAGACCTCCCGCTGTGTTCTAGGAGCCCTCCAGCTTATTGACTTTAGTTCTTTGTCAGCGTCACAAGCAGCCAATTCTGTTTTTCAGAAGTTCGGTAACTCCAGCTTATTCTTCAGAGGGTGGAGTCTGCTGCATATGGCATCACAGCTGGCTACTGTGGAAATAATTATTATGGTGCCAGAGACAGGATGTAATCAGAGAAGGAAGCAAGCTACTTGTGAATTCCCAAGAAAGCCAGAACCCATTTTCATGACAGCTTGCTTGCTATTGCCAGTGGAAAAAAAGGGAGTGCTAGGTTAGATCCCTTGGAATGGTCTCCAAAGAGCACCTCCTGGAGAGGAGGGAGGTGATGGTGAATTGAACTGGAGCTTGCTGGTGGAAGTTGGTTCTCCACTTTCTGTAAAGGCTAGGATGGGGAGTTCTTATCTAGCTCGACTGAGCAGGCCTTGCTTCCTTTTTTGGACTGTTGGCATTACTGCCTCTTTCTGTCTTCTTTAAAGGGGCAGGGTATGGTGTTGCTGGCATTTAACTGTTTGCATTGGACCAAATTGTTTTGGATGGAAAAGCCAGAAGTACAGCATGGGGTCGGGGGGGAATTGTTGGAGCAGTGAAGTCAGAAAATGGCAGCTGCTTGTGGCAATGATGGGCAGCAGCCTGGGGCTTTGGGGTTAACTACAACCCTGGGCTTTCTCTGTGGAGGTGCCTTCTGAATCCTAAACTCTCTTGCATGAGCACAGAGGAAAGGAGGGGGTTGGATTGGGGGG